AGGGGGAAGGGGTCAGGGGGGAGGGTCAGGGGGTGGTCCTGTTTCAAACCCCGCTCTTCGCCGTCGTCCTCGTGCCATTGGTCATTCTCTACGTGCTCATACAGGTCAGGGGGGTCAGGGGTCAGGGGTCAGGGATGAAAGGGGATAAAAGGAGGTCATGGGGCAAGAGGGTCAGGGGTTTAAGAGAGGGTCGGAAGCCTTTTCCTAAATTGTTTGAATAATGGAAAAAAACACCTACATAGAATAACAACAACAACAACAACAACATCATCAACAACAACAACAACAATAACAACAACAACAACAACAACAACAACAACAGCAGCAGCAGCACCAGCAACAATAACAACAACACACAAAACGACAATAAGAAAAAAACAAAAACTTCAACTTTCTAAATGTTTAGCATTGTCTCGGTGCGATGCTAAAAACCACCTCTATCTAAAAAAAAGAAGCAACTTCTTGCCTTTCAACTAACAGAAGTGAACAAAACAAATTAATTAACCGTTCTTTACTAATTGTTTTTTTTTTTTTTTTACTAATTGGTCTTATTAATTGTTCTTTATCAATTATTCTTTATAAAATATTCTTTATCAATTGTTCTTTATTAATTGTTCTGTACTAATTGTTCTTTTTTATTGTTCTTTATCAATTGTTCTTTATCAATTGCTCTTTATCAATTGTTCTTTATGAATTGTTCTTTCTTTACTAATTGTTCTTTATTAATTGTTCTGTATTAATTGTTCTGTACTAATTGTTCTTTTTGGTTGTTCTTTACTAATTGTTCTTTATCAATTGTTCTTTATCAATTGCTTTTCTTTACTAATTGTTCTTCATTAATTTTTCTTTATTAATTGTTCTGTACTAATTGTTCTTTTTGATTGTTTTTTTACTAATTGTTCTTTATCAATTGTTCTTCATTAATTGTTCTTTATTAATTTTTTTACTTATAGTTTTTTATCAATTGTTCTTCATTAATTGTTCTTTATTATTTTGTTCTTTATTAATTGTGCTGTACTAATTGTTCTTTTTGATTGTTCTTTACTAATTGTTCTTTACCAATTGTTCTTCATTAATTGTTCTCTCTCCTCAGAGCTATTACGTCCGCACATCACGACAACTGAAGCGTATCGAGTCGATCGCCCGGTCCCCCATCTATGTCCACTTCAGTGAGTCCATCACAGGCGCCGCGGTCATCCGCGCATACAGGGCCGGGCAACGCTTCGTGCTGGAGTCTCAGAGGAGGGTGGACTATAACCAGGTCTACTACTTCGCCAGTCAGGCAGCTCTGAGGTATGTAGGAGTTGTTTAAAAAAAAAAAAGGATCCCTAAAGCAAAAACAAAAGCACAGATACACATATACATACAAACATGCATACACACAGACACTCCTACACACACACACACACACACACACACT